TAAAGGTGTTTTGAATACGAACGAACACAGTCAGTTTGAGGGGCAAAAACAGCATTAATATAAATGAACTATAGGGTTTTACTATACGGGTCAATTATTGTGCATTGAGATGAATCGCTTTGAAAAGAGAGACTTCGCTTGAAGATGTGATTAGAAGTAAACAAAGGCATAATAGTGCGTCATGTTCAGTCTATTTAATATCCAAGGAGTCACTGTGAATAGTGTCAGGGGCACCCAACGAGAATATAGTTCAAAACCACTCAACATAGCATTGTTAAACGTATTTTCGTATTTAGACGGTAGATTTAGGCATAATTTTATCCCCTAAACATTTTTTATCTGTTCGGATTTCCTAGCTGAAAGTCTAGTGATCCGAAAATTACAGGGATCAAAACTTACCTTTTCGAAAGTTTCAGCCAGAAAAATGGCTCCCGAAAATTCTAGGTGACCTTTTTAGGGTAAAAATCCATAAAAATGGGCAATTATACCATTTTTTAGCTGTTCGAAAATCCTAGGAGAGGCAGGCAAGCAAGAAACTTTACGACAAATGTTCCGAAAATTCTAGGTTTCAAATCGCCTTCCGAACAGATATTTCCCGAAAATTGACGTTGGGTGCCCCTGATAGTGTTTCCATATTGTTTAGCTGGCACAAAAACTTCGGACGAGTTATAAAGCGGCATAGTTATCTTCCATGAAAAAAAGTTCGTCTTGGGTGAGACAAACAGAACTGGAGCGAATTTTTTACTCGCATCGGTATCAGGTAAAAAACGGCCGTCGATAAAACCGGGAACATGGAACATCCCAAAACATTAAAAAATTAAAATATTTTTTTATGAAAAAATGATTAATTAACTAAATAATAATAATAATAATAATAATAATAATAATAAATAATAAAAGGAACAATAGATAGAAAACAATAATAATAACAAAATAAATAACATAACATAACATAAAAACGAAAAATAAAGAAACAAACCAAGAAAGAAAGAAAAAGAAACTGGTATCATCTCCGAGTATGAGAAAACAATATTTTGTTGCAATGAATTTTTTGCAGTGGGCGAGTAAGGGTCCATTCAAATGACAGTCCCCAGTCATCCTACTCACCCTGGTCACCCTAATGAGTGAAGGCTTGCTTCTTAATTCAAAATATATATATTAAAATGGGTCGCGAGGAGAGGGTTTTCAGACTTTCGTCACACAGCCACCTCTTGTAAAGGTTTGCCATGTGGTTTAACGGTTATCCATTTACGGCTTTGCGACCGAAACAAGAGCTTAGGGGCTTGTCGCTTTGGACTCGGATAATTAAATTAAAGATTCAGATTCACCGTGAATAGTTGCAGTGGCAGTGGTAGCGCAGCGGTAGTTTCTAACTGTTATCAGTTAGCCTGAATTTTAGCCGTCTGCCCGCAAACTCCTCCTGCGACTAGAGGAGACGTCTGAAATATCATGCTGACTGTAAACAGTATAGAAACTACTACGAATGTGAGTATTGTCCACTAAAATCCAAAGACAGGAGCCCCTATACTCTTCTTAAGTTCACAGAGCCGCCTAGTCTGTAAGTAATTCATGTTCAAAGAAAGCAAAGCACCTCAAGAAAGCAAATGTCGGTTATAAATAAGGAGACTATATGTTGGCTTGAAATGAGGTACTTACCGACTTGGCTTGACATGAGATACAGCACCGACATTTCAGACCATTGCAGAACCGTAAATGGATAACCGCCAAATAATTAACTCACGGCAAACAATTACAAGAGGTAACTGTGTGAGGAAAGCTTAAAACCCCCCCCTCCTCGCGACCCATTTTAATATATTTCGAATTTAGAAGCAAACCTTCACTCGTTACTGTCATTTGCATGAACCCTCACTCGCCCAACAAATTTTAATTTGTTGCGACAAAATATTGTTTTCTCATACTCACAGAGGATATCAGTTTCTTTTTCTTGATTAATTGATTATTTTTCGTTTTTCTTTTGTTATTTTACGTTATTATTAATTTTTACAAAAATTATTTTATTATTATTATTTTATTATATTTTTTTTCATGAAAATTATTTTTATTTTTTCATGTTCCGGGATGTTCCGGCATGTTCCGGAATGTTCCGTGTTCCTGGTTTTATCGACGGCCGTAAAAAATATCTTATCGACCGTTTCATCAATTTACATTGTTTGAAGTGCGTGCTGGTGAACGCAACATGCGAGCGAGAAATCTTTGAACTTTTTTAGGTCTCAAAATGCAAAGGATTTTATTCCTTTAAGTTAGAGAAAAATACCATGAGGAAAATCTTAAAACTGAATATTTTTCATCTTGTGGAAAAAATAGTGCGTTTTCTTGTAGACTGTGGACCGCACATTAGGATCGCACTTTTCACAAACATGCGAATTCTGAAGTTGAGAAGCCAACCGACGATTGCGTTTTTCGCTGCTGTCAATCATCTTAACGGACCTCTTAGGAAACAAAACTTTACTTCAAGGGTTCAAAAGGTCATGGTTTGTGATTTGTGGATTTCGATCCGTTTTGTGTGTTTCTCTGTTTCAAGGTTCGTTGCTTGTGATCGTAATTATGATTGACGGCAGCGATAAACACAATTGTGAAGGTGGCTTTTGAACTTTAGAGTTCGCATGCTTGTGAAAAGCGCAGTAAAGTCTCCGTGCAGTCAGTGAGGCCCCTGGATCAGGCAGAATCAATGAGCAGTTAACCGTCTGTTTTAGTATACTTCTGGTTTTCATACAATACAATATTTCTGTCTAGTGTAAATCAGGTCAGTCTGTCGCATTTTATGCTCGTAGAACGACAACAATTTTTGGAATTTCCAGTTACGTCAAGTTAGTCGCATTATACTGTCACACTATAATTTGGGGCACAGAGGGATTGTGGGAGGGGTACGTGGAAATAATGCAAATTGTTTCCTGCCTAGAATTAATGGATAACTTGTTTATTTTTATTCATAATGGTGGAATTTAAAAGTTATTATACAGCCCCCACTTAAAATGGTACTCTTTTTTTGGTTATGAAAGTCTTTCAAAAGGGTCAGTCTCACATGAGCTTCTGTCCCATGCAATGGTTGCTGACAAGGTTTTATGGTAGCCTGAGTGTGTATAGCCGCCCCCTCCCTTCAGAAAAAATAGCCCCTTTGCAGCCCAGTTAAAAATCGCCTTTCGGCGATTCTTGTTATCTTATTGTTTAAGACGCTTTTCCGCGATCAAATTTAAATCTGGACCCAGAAATGTCAGTATCGGTTTGAAATAAAAGGATTAATCTTTGATTGCAAGTTAAATATTCTATTTTATGCATGAATAGTGTTGTTTTGTTGTGCTTTTTATTTATAAATCCAGGCTTCTGTCTTCAGTTTTGCCAGTCGATCCCGTGACACACATTGTGACAAACATGACTTTTTTTGTTATAATCTGCATTTATTGCCAGGCATGAAACCTGTAACTTCAAGCTCCCTAAGATATATTTGGCGATTATATGTGATTCTCAGGATATGATGCTGAAGCGAACATCAAACAAGTCTCGCTGGGCATGCCAATTTCTTGCCTGGCATGCCGGGCACGCCAAACCAACTGGCTTCACCATCCGCATGCCCGGCATGCAAAAAACTGGGAATGAATTATCAACCCGGCGAGAGATCTGGGACCTAAGTTTAGCTGGGTCAATTTTGGGCTGCGAGGGCATGAACCCATTTTTTCCATGCCTATGAGATGTTATTTCTAAGTACCAATGTTCCCTTGAATTTTGTCATGCCTAAATATATAAAATTTTCCCTCTCTCATTAATCCTCAGACTGGATGCGATTTTTACGCTCGCTAGGCATGTTCAACTGGAAATCATGCCCATACCCTTATTCAAAACAAAATGCTATCAAATTTTAGTTTCCAAACCGTTGGCTTGTACTTGGAAATTGCCTTCAAATACAAAGTAAAACAAAGCAAAACCGGCAAATTTCCTTCCAACGATAACTGGCTTGCCCAATCGATTTTGAAACGCAAATTTCCCTCCATAGATAAGCCCCTCCGAATAGAAGCCCCTCAAAAAGGGTCTTTAAAAAATATAAGCCCCGGGGCTTATTTTCGGAATTTTACGGTATTTTGTCGTCGGAATGGCAATTTTTCCTCTAACACATTAATTTTGAAACACATTTTCACAAAATTTACAAGAAGGCAGCAGGAAGAGTGAACCTCTTAGGCCATCCTCTTCTTTTTTCTCCGTTTACCGTCGTCCGACCGACCCAATTTTTTGGCATTTTCAAAAAAAAAAAAGTAACGACGTAGTTACACCATTTT